TATGAGACGCCGTTGTCCCATTATTAGAGTTCAAGAACACCTTTACACACACTCCACCAGAAACGTGCAACTTTAGAGTCACATTGCATGGGATTTAAAGGGCATCTATTTTGCAAAAATCACTTTTATAAGGAGTTTAAAGACAATTGTGTGGGGATATAAGCAGCATCTAATTGTAAACATTTACTAAACTTATTTTTTTATTATCAGACTTGGTCAAATCAGTCTGCAGAAACACTTTGATTCTCCCTTTGTATGCGTCATCAGAGGAGGAAAGGGCTCCGCCCACTAGTGATGTCAGTCCTGTTTTAAATCTGCCACTATGCTGACACACAGGCATTTGTAGTACCTATTGTAATAGGTTCCCTTTAAATATATTTACACAACAGTATTACTTATAGTGGAACGTGTTGTATGTTTAACTACTAGGGTTGGGCCGATAGACGATGCCATTGCTCATCGCTGATGGCCGACAAACTTCACGATGCTGATCCATCACCCCGCCCCACATTTATTTTGATGTTTAACTTATTATCTGCATGTCATATTAATAGCAATAACAGTCTTTTCATGAGCTGTGTTATACATATAGCTGCCGCTTGCACAGCTGACAGCATCGTGAGGATTAAATGAAGGATTCTACAGCACCTCTCACGCTTAAAATGTGTAGATTCAGTGGCAAACGCTGCTACCTGCGAACGCCGTCCCACAGACTGTACAGTGAATGGTCCTTTTCATAGCGGACTTGACGCCACTGGAAGTCTTTTATCCACTCTTGGAAAAGTATAAATGCTGGATTAACATTCGGCTCATGATCACTAATAAGATGTGGCATTATTAGTAACTCTAGGTGGTTTCTGAAACAAAATCGGTCAGTGTTATTTTCATTCTCTCATCTTCAGCGCTTCACATTTTCGCAGCTGTAGCTCCTCCTGTCATCTGAGGGCAGAAGGCATTGACTGAGTGATTGACAGCTGATATTAACCAATCCATTCGCGTTCAGTTCTAGAGCAGTGGGCCAATCAGAAGAGCACAAAGGCGGGGCAAGCATTGCAGGCTTTTTTTACTTTACATACCAACTGTTTCGATCTGTTCCTGTGCACTGCGTTTGGCGGTGCAAAGATGCATTCTGCATAAATGTCCGGTTGTAAGCATAGTTGTAAAGGTTAATAATTAAAGGGTTAATACTGACACTGTACTTTTTATTTCCCTACCCTAACAGGAAACTGTGTGGTTTTGCTATGATTTTTAAGCCTTTTAATAAATAGAGACTTCAGGAATGTCCCCATAATTCACCATCTTCTTGTAATACTCCTGTCGTTATACACATTTGTGTCCTGATATGTCACAAACGCACACATAAACCCATACACTTTTGTTTTTGTGAACTGTGGGGACATTCCATAGGTTTCCATTGTAAGGGTTAATTGTGAGAGGGTTAATACTGTCACAGTATTGCTTATTTCCCGACCCTAACAGGAAACTGTGTGGGTTTTACTATGATTTATAAGCCTTTTGATAAATCGAGACATTAGCAACGTCCCCATAATTCACCATATTCTTGCTATGCGCCTGTCGTTATACACATTTGTGTCCTGACACACACACACAAATATAGAGCAAGGAGACGTCATGCTCCTCTTCCGCAGTGCATCAAGGGAATCAGGCTCCTCTGACTCATGCTGGAGAAATGGAGGCGTGTGTGTGTATGTGTGTGTGTGTTTGAGTGGGGGGGGGGGGTGCTCTTCATTCAGCCGCTGATGTAATACAGGTGACCTATCCGTCATAGAACACCCCCGCTTCTCCCTGGCAGCCCATTGGCGGAGCGCGGGCATCAATGGACCAGTGTGTTCTCTGGGTGGAGCGAGGCAGAGATGCACGTCACTCCTTCATTCAGAAAAAAAGGAAGTGCATAAAAAAAAACTGCAGCTTCCTTGGCAGCGGCTGTGAATGAGTTTGAGTGCTGATCTCACTCTTTGTCACACATGTAGGCTGTGTGTGTGTGTGTGTGTGTGTGTGTGCGTGTGTGCGCTTAGTCTGCCTGTGTTCTGGTGGATGTGCAGTACTGGATGCTCATTCATTACTGAACACTGAGAGGTCATATATAGGTAATCTAATAGATGATCATTGCATTGACGTTATACGATGTGTATCGAATATGAAAGCGTAACTGAAGTGTGTCAAATACAAAGCGATATTTGCGATGTCAGAACGGTTATATTCTTCTTCTGTTGTGTTTTACTCTGTTGATTTTCTATGCTTTTGTTCGCTTTGTATGGCTCATTTCTGTTCTACTCTATTCTGAGCCTCTGCTATTTCTCTGTTAATCTTCTGTTTTTGTTGTATCCCGTTCTGGCCACATCCTATTCTGTTCTATTGTACTCAGCTGTGCTCTGCACTGTACACTACCTGATGAAAGTCTTGTCGCCTTTTCAAGTTTAAGGCGCAGCAAATAATAAGTTGACTTCTGGTTGATCATTTGGTATCAAAAGTGGCTTCT